TTGTTGTTTATGCAGATACAGATTCAAGGAGACAAAAGAGCTTAACCAGACCACTTTAAAAAAAAAAAAAAAAAGGCAAAAAAACCCCAACCCACACAAGCAAGCAAAAATCCCACACAATACAGATTAAAAAATAGTTAAGAAAAATTAGAAAATTAAAGTTTCTTAAAAAATATTGTAAAACAAATACTGAAACAAACCAACTCTATAACTGTAATACACTAGAGCATTGCTTGGTTTCCACCCTTACAGTGTTTGGGCTTCTGGCTAAAATCGCCCTGTTGGACTGCCTGGAGGAAGAGGTCAGATACCACAAACCACAAAAATGAGTCAGAATCTTCAACTCTGATTTCTCAAAAATTCTATTTCAACTACAGTGCCAGTCAGCAAATACAGAGCTGTTTCCATGCCTCTCTCATTTGCTTCATAGTAATACATGATTTCCCAAATTTTAGTCTCTACAAAAAGAACCACTTATGAGATAAGCAGTTAACTAGCTCTATGACACAGAGCAAGTATATAAGTGAAATTCAACACAGGCTGCCAATCCAGACAGAATGGAAACAGTAAACAAAGCAGAATTCAATTTTCAATGCACTATTATATTAGACTGGAAGAAATCAGTGTTGTACACACATGAGGACAATTGAACTCCAGTGACGTTGCTTAACCTGCACCCATGTGAAACTGCCACAAATACAACCACTTAGAGAGCCCCTATCACTTAACAATCCCAAATGCTTTAGTATGAATTCTATACTTGCAAAAAGGAGTTTGTTCTGGACATGAGGATATATCTTCAAACAGAGGGTGAATGTGCCCTGAAAACAGAGGCACATGGGGGCAAAAAGCAGGGATGCAAAAAATGATATAATGATATACATTTAAAAAAAAAAAAAAAAAAAGGCTGATGAAGCAAATAAAAAAATCCAGTGACCCTCTAAGATTGTGAACCTTCCAAAATATTAGGCTCTTTTCTCTGATGCCATCTTCTGCCAATAAATCAAAAAAGCCCAAGAATCCATTTGAAGATTTAGCAAGTATTTCAGGGAAGTATTTCAGGGTCTATGACAAAGTCAAATCATCTTGTGATGTTCTGCATCCTATATAATGATAAAAACACTGCTAACCCAAATGGCTCCAAACACAGCACAAAATGGCAGTGCCTGCAGTTGCTGAGCAGCTCCTCAGCCAGACAACATGAGAGCCAGAAGAATGCTTGTGCCAAAGACAGTTAATACGATCATACTGCATTAGAGTCATTGGAGTGATATTGGGTAAATGTTATGTTGCATGAGGCTATACAGTAATGGGCAGTAATCAGTAAAAACATTTTAAGTTCTTGTTTTACTACTGCTTCATCACTAGCTATAAAACAACATACTAATAAAGAACATAAAACTGGAAGAACTGAGATTAACAAGGCGTGTTATGACAATTTAGAAGTAAAAGTCACTTTAGCAATATAAAACTGAACAATACTGTTTAAAAGAATCAGCAGAGAAGATTTACCGTTCCTTATTAAAAAAAATAAACCAACCAACCAACAACAAAAAGACCAAAGAAACCCTAGATATTCAGAGTGTCTACCACAGGGTAGTAACCACGGCGTATATATCAATCTGGTAGGCAAAATATAAATGCCGTGTATCAGATAGCCCACTACAGCACTATCAGTCCTTGCACAGACAATGCTAACCACTGAGAGGTGGCAAGAGAAAGGGTGGCATTTAAAAGCTTTGGCCAACATGCAGACATAAATTTTGACTCCACAAGTAGGTATATTTATGGCAGATTCCAAGAATGATTAGCAAGCCATTAGAAAATGCAATCAGCTCCCTCCAAGTTGTTTCTATCAGGCTCTGAAGACATTACCTAATTTTTAGTAGGATTCTGGTATCATGTGCTGTTAGCGTATAATTATTACAGAAATGCGATTGCATCGTTAGCATAAGTTTAATTGTATCACTGACATTAGTGATGCCATAACATCAAGCTCAATAATGGTTCATAACAAAACGTACAATTAGCACAATTTTTCTCCTTTTTACACCAACCAAAAGTGTTCAGCTTGAAGAAGCCTAATAGTCCCTACAGAAGTGAGCTAGGGCTGAACCTGAAAGGATTGCTGGCTGGTAATTTAGTAATATGGTAATTAAAGTCTTTTCATGATGTAATTACACATCAACTACAAAAGGACAGCTGCTATACAACAGTGCCAGGGTACGTGGCATGAAATGATTAGATTTGAGAAGCTTTAGTGGTTAAACTGAATACCACAGGCATAAGTCTGAGGTATAGCTGGCACCACATAGCACATTATTATTCAAGTCTCACACTTCCAGTTTCCTCAGTCTCATTGTGACAGTAACAGTTTGTTGCATGTACCTTGGTCCTTTGACAGCAGTAGCTGTTCAAAACCCACATCTACAAGCTTCTGTTGTTTCTAATTCCAGGTAACCTCAAAGCCTAAGCCCTCTTTTGGGCAGAAGCTATACCAATAAGGATTGTGTAAACAATTACCGATGCTGCAGCATGAAAACACTCGTAGATTAGTTAACTGCAGTTATTTTTCAGAAATTTATTCTAGCACGTGGGCAGAGAAGGTAGGAGACTGAGGACAGAAGAGGCAAAAGTGAGCTGGTGAACTCAAGGAAACCAGAACTCCCCTGAAGTACTGAGGGTTTTGGCATCTACTTCCAAAAGCAACAAACATGAGGCGCATATTCGGGAAAAAAAAAAACAAATCCCACTCTTCTCCTAAAAAACATGTAAACATTTTGTTTAATAGTTCCTCATTACATTTCTCAGTATTCTCATTTGTATCTGTGCAAAACAAAAAGTTGACAATGCAAGGCATGAGACAGTAAAAATGCACATATTTTTCCACTAACACAAATAAGGAACTTCTTGGCTACGTGACTTGGCCCTTAAAAATACAACAATGCACTGTGCGCCCTGGAAGTAGGCAGACAAGCTCAGAGCTGCTTTTCTAGTCCTAAAATGTCATTTTAGGAATGAGAAGCAACTTGGATGGTTCACAGTAACTGCAGGCCTCCCTCCTACCCCTGTCCTGAAACATGAGAGGCAGTGAGAGACTCAGATCAACCAGACTTCTACACTTTAAAGCTTCTTTTAAAAATATTTTATTCAGCTTGGAAAATCTATAAGCAGGCCCATGTGAAAATGAAAGATTTTGGAAATTCTGAGAATTCTCCTCAGCATGAGTAAGGCTTCCATGAGGTCCATTTGGAAAGCGGAAAACCAAACTGTTTCGGATCTGAAGTGACTCTGTTACCTATAGGGATCTGAGGAACGAGTAGAAGAACTTCAACCTTAGTTCAAAGATTACTCAGCCTTGCCAGTGGCTTTCTTCTTTTCCTCTTTTTCTAAAACAAAAAAATGTTTTGGATGGGGTTTAATGAATATTCAAAGCCTCTGAGTGGTTTTAACTAAGGTGGACACTGGGACTATTTCAAGATCACCACCAATAAAAGTTTATTCCCGTGAGTATCCACAGGATTCAATGGAGCTGAGGCTGCTCTCAGGAAGCAGAAGGAAGATCCTGGGGGAACTGCAAGCAGCCGGTAATTTAAGACTAAAGACCTCAGCCCTCAGAAGCAGGTCCTGCATGGCCAGTTTTGCACTACACAAATAAGGAACAAAGCAATTAGCTAACTCTATGGAAAAGACTCAACTGTACTTCAAAGCACAGTAGTAAAGGAAAACACGATTACTTGTAATCTGATGGAAGAGAGGTAAAATGCAACACAGTTAGTGGTTCTGAGGAGTGGACAGATGGTCAACTCCAACTTGTTTCCAGGTACACTCTGCGAGGACTCATCTGCAAGGACTCATTCATTTGCCAGTTCAAGGAAAAAGATTTGAATGTCACTTGTCAAGAGGAACTTGGTGAGCAATTTACAACACATGTAGCAAGTTCAGCAAATTAAGATCACTAACAATGGAAAGCAAAGCACTTTATGCGCAGTGGATTTGTCTTCCTACACACTTCAGTGCAGCAAAAGACTTGAGTGCTGTCTCTGTGAATACAGAATGAAACATGAACTGTGTGCACACTAAACCCAAACAACGAAAACATGTAACTGTAGTGTCTTCATCAAAATACAACAGTGTTCAGTATCTGTACAGACTTCAATTACACAGCTACTAACTGAACCCAAATGCAGTCTGTGTCACGCAGAGAACTACGCTCTGCTGGCCTGTTTATGCAGAGCACTGCCAGAAGAAACATGCAAAGGTATGAAGTCTTGCAAGAACAGCCTCGTTCTCTCTAGCAGTGGTATGGGCAAAGAATGAGAGAGAAGGAAGGAATGCAAGTGAGAGGCTCCCAGCATGTTCCTAGTTTTAGCTAAGTCAGAAGAAAAAGGAGCTTCTCATAATGAGATGTAAAGCATCCAACTTCTAACTGAAGCAAAGTAACAATTCTTGAGCTACAGCATTCAGTTCTGAGAAACAGGCAAGTACATGAGTCAGAGCAGGACACAGTAAAATTCCTAGCTTTTGGATAGCCTCTCGACCCCCCTGCAGTATATTTACTATACTCTCAATACCATTTTCAAAAATATTAAAATCTGATAGCCAGGTGGGCTTCCAAGGCTAGACCTAGGGACAGCACCCTCAGGATCAGCAGTTCCAGATGTAGTCCCCCATCAAACAGTGTTCAGCATACAATTCTACTACACCTGTTTCAAAGGCTCTTCATAGTGTCTTTTCACTTCTCTGCCACCATCAACTCATTCAGAGACAGCAACAAGAAAGAAAAGATGGGTCAGTCACCTTGAGTGCATCCACCACTCAACTAGACACTGGAAGTCCATCACTACTGCATTAATTTTGCATTAATTTTAGTGAGAACTGTTAAGAGCCCAGACAAAAAACAGAACCTCCTGGTGATGCTATTTGCCACTAAGGAACTTGATAACACCAGATCTTGGGAGTTCGGGTGTGGGAGTAGAAGAGACATCACACTCACTTACCTGCTATCACCAGCATTTGCCACGTAAAGCTTCCCCAATAAATACACAACCACAAGGGCTGTGCAGCCACCAGAAATATTATACACGGTCCTCTCTCGTTCTATTTGCAAATCCTATAGGAAAAGAAAATAAAATGTATTAAAAAAAAGACAGCATTGTAATTAATACTTTAGAAAATGAAGATTCCCCTAAAAAATTACAATTTTCTTCAACTGCAAGTCACATTAGCTTTCTTTTCTATTTCAATTCTGGCTATATGCTCAGAAAGAATGGAAAGTCTTGGAGTACCAACTGCTTATGATAGAAAGCTGGGGATAAAACAGGACAGGACTGTAAAACATCAGGCATCGTGGAATAAAGGGCAATGCTGAGGGATGCAAGAGATTTTGCTACAGAAAAAGCACAAAGGCAGCAAAGATAAATGTAGCTGAACAACACGTACGTGGTGGTATAATTGGAGAGCACTTTACATAGACAGCAAATAATTAATGAGACCTAGCTATGACATGAATAACTACTTGGTCTCCAAAGCGAAGGCTAGGATTGTGGAGCGTACACCTTTACAAACAGCAGCAAGATGCACTCATGCAAGAGGGCTACCCTTCAGAAATACAGAAAGCAGTGATGCTAAACTAGTTAACAAAAAAAAAAAACCAACAGTGTGAAATAGAACAACATCAGTAGAACAACAAAAGAATATTAGTACTAGGCATTCACAGAATTGCCAGTATGAGCCACAGTATGTAAGGCTGTATCTTGTCTCACTGATTTCATGAGGCCCTGGAAAGAATTTGTGAACGTGCACCAATTTAGAGAGGTATGTACCTACTCAATCGTTCTTCCCATGTTAAACTTCCAACTGATTCTGAGTTTAATAAGAAATACTACATAAAATACCATATAAATATAAAAAGCCCCCCTGCTTAATAGATGTGGAGAACACAAGTCACATCTGTCACTGACAATCAGTCAAGCCCAGCAGTATACATTATCCCAAGAAAGAGACCATGAAAAAAAAAAAGGTAAAGGAGCTACTTCCTAGTATTCCATGCATCTTCAAAAAACTAATTGTATGTCAGTGAACTCACTCTGCTGCCTCGTAGCTTAGCTTCTGGTAATAACCCAACATGTTAAAGTCGCCTGCCTCTCCTGAGTCCAGAATCCAACCTAATATCAAACTGGTCTTTCCCTGTAATACTAGATTCAAACAGGGAGTGTCAGCTAACATAGCTATTGCAAGTAACTAGCAGATCTTTTCAGCTAAACCTTGCCTCTCTGTGTGCTGTACTTCATTACTCGCATTAAGCAACAAACAGCTCAAATTGTCCATGCCTTGGGGTATGGGATTTAGGGCTTTATTTCAGAGCTTTATTTATCCGAGCAAAAGAACCACAACAAATGCTAACTATAACAGCTGCAATTTGCTTGGAAACCTGCAGCACCAAGGCAAGCCAGGGACTGCTCGTTGTTTCCTACACAATTCTGAAGAGGGAGGTGATCCAGGGCAGAAGCGGGGATGCTCAGCAGTGCTCAGCGACTGTCCCAAGCGATCTGGACAGGGAGTGCTCCTATTACTAATAGCGCCTGTCACAAAGAATGTGACTCTGTGCAGGCCAGAGTGCAAACAGCCTGATCTTATTTGTGCCATCAACACAACAACGGGGAGAGCAGTGGGGACAGCAGAGGTGCACAGCGCTAACCAACATGGCCATCATCTGCCACACAGAGGAACTGCAAGCTGCTCTGCCGCAGACACTGGGTTTTGTGGCTCTTGTGGCTCTTGCTAGTCAGTGCAAGTATTTTTTTTTTTCCCTTAATTTATCTCCTTTTTAATTTTTATTTTTTGGTAGGTAGGCTGTGGTGAAGGCCAGGAGGAAAACACCTCAAAGCTAAAATCAAATCTTGCAGAGCCTTTGGTCACAGACATGGGCTTGTTGCATATGCCACTTTATCTAATCTTGCCATAGAGAAGCTGATTTTCCTCCCCGTGGTTTCCATATATTTTTAAATTAAGCTGAAAAGAGCAGTTCAAAGGAAGCAGATGTTTCTAACCATCAAAATAATTTAAACTTACAAATACTACAGTGGATTTTCCAGGCACCGCCAGGAATTTTAAAATAGCTTCATCTCTGCTGCTCGGAGTATCCTCTGAGACCTTGAAACAAAGTACAATTCCTCACCTGATTTCAGCCCTGTCACATGCACACTTCATGAGTGCTGGAATGCCTATATTAAAATCTATTCCCTTCAATAAGAAGAACTCAGAAGCGTTTATTATGGGATGGAGAATAATCCTTAGGGCCTCATTCTCAGAGTTTGCTTAACTTAAACTAGATCTTCGGTGCTGAAAGAGGTTTCCTATATCTCAACAAAATTTGAGGGGAAAAGATAAAACAAAATGAAGCCCACCATTACTACTAACTCATTCTGACGTAGAGATACCGGTTTTTAATGAAATATGTTTCATCAGTGCTGCTGGGAAAGGGGTGCAGCACAAAGAGATGCAGAACACCTCTGAAACCTTTAGGGGTGTAAAGAGTTCTAGATGAAGGCTAAGTACATACAAAATTTTCCTAATTTCCCATCTGGGGAAAGATTTCAGAGCAACCTTTTTTTCTCTTCCCCCATCTCCTTTTCCGTAGGATGCAAAACATTTCTATATAGCAATCTGCTTGTAGAGGAAGAGCCGAGCAAAACTGGGTTAAATCATACTTCTAGTACTTGAAGGGGGAATGACTGTTTACATGGGTTAATTATATGACAAGGGGGAATGGTTTTAAACTAAGACAGGGGAGGCCAACTGTGTTCAGGGCTGCATTAGAAAAGGGGTGGCCAGCAGGGAGAGGGAGGTGATTGTCCCCCTCTACTCAGCTCTTGTGAGGCTCCATCTGCAGCACTGCATCCAGGCCTGGGGTCCCCAGTGCAGGAAGGATGTGGAGCTCTTGGAGTGGGTCCAGAGGAGGGCACTAAGATGATCAGAGGGCTGGAGCACCTCTCCTATGAAGAAAGGTTGAGGACACTGGGCTTGTTTAGGTTGGAGAAGAGAAGGTTCAGGGGAGATCTCATTGTGGCCTTCCAGTACTTGAAGAGAGCATATGAACAGGACGGGGACCAGCTGTTTATGAGGGTGGATAGTGATAGGACAAGAGAGAATGGTTTTAAACTGAGACAGGGGAGGTTTAGGTTAGATATTAGGAGCAAGTTTTTCACTCAGAGAGTGGTGATGCACTGGAACAGGTTGCCCAAGGAGGTTGTGGATGTCCCATCCCTGGAGACATTCAAGGCCAGGCTGGATGTGGCTCTGGGCAGCCTGGTCTGGCGGTTGGCAACCCTGCACATAGCAGGGGGGTTGAAACTCCATGATCATTGTGGTCCTTTTTAACCTAGGCCATTCTATGATTCTGTGATGATAATATGAACTCTCTTTCAGTCCAAAGGGCAGTATGGGGCACACTCTCAGATCTTGACAGAGCTAAAAAACTTCACTCAGCAAGTGGAAAATGAGTATGAACTGCAGGCTGGAGAATGAAGGGTGAAGAATTAGAAGACTCATTAGTAGCTGTGATAACACCTTCCTAACATCTGCAAAATGGTCTTAAAAAAAAAAATAAATAGAGAAAAAAAAGGATTTCTGTATCTTCTGCTAAAAAGGGTGACGTTTATACCAAGGAGGGAAATAATCTGTGCTCTGCGTCTACTGAGGATGGGGAATGTTGCAGCAGGCAGGAGCAGGGCACCCACAAGAGTTGCCTTATGCCCAGCCCCCCCAGGGGATGGAGCACAGGGGCAAGCTAAGGCTTGGACCTGAGCTTTCCCGAGCAAAAACACTCGTTTGTCATGCTAGCTTATAGTCCTTTTCTAAAAACAGAAGTCGACTGCGCCACGAAGGCAGCACTGTTTGCTCATCCAGAGGCTCACAGCAGCTTGCTCATGCCACCTCGTGGAGATCTGCCAGAGCGGCTCTGGTGCCTCTGTAAGTGTGGTGTGGGCAGCGGCCTGGCGTGCTGCAGGGCTCCCGGCCTCGTCCTTCCTTCCAGCGTTTTCCATCAGCGTGCATGCGGCATGTCTTAGGCTGTGGGCATGAGCCACCGGCAGCTCTGCCCTGGCTGGCTCATACATGCAGGCTGCTGCACGGGCAGGGTAGAGGATGAGAGAGAAGCAAGTGAGAGTGCAGAGAAGTGTGTGCCAGCTGCATACGATGCCAAATTTTAAAAGTTCAGGATCTTGAAAACAGACGTAGGTAAACTGATCAAACCACAGTATCATCATTACAACCAGTCATCATACTACACTAAGAACTACAATAACTATTCTTCAGCTGCATCCATCCTCAGAAGAGGCCCTCTGGTAGTTGTAGCTTGCTTGACAGCAAGTAACTTTACCTCCTATACACAGGATATCCATTAACTTTTTTTTTTTTTTTTTTTAACTAAAAATCATGTTTCAGAGGGCATAAAGTCAAAATTAACTCTTTAAATTGCTTTAGCTCAGTCAAAGAGGCATCAAAATGGCTGTATCACAGCTGCAAGCCCCTTTATTTCTAACGGCTATTTAGAGGAAGTTTTTTTGAAAAAGGAAAACCATTCAGTGTGTTGGTCTCTGAAGATTGATGCCATTTGAGTTTGAAGCATTTTGTGAAAGTATCTGTTTAGATTTGAATCAAAAGAATCTCGAAAAAGAAGAAAAAGCTTGATAAAGCAGACACCACTGTCTTCCAGTAAATCACACAGCCCAGGTATGTGCCATTTTTTCCCATCCAAGATAAAGAGGGTTTAGTGTAGAATAGGTGCTTCCTATCCGAGGTCTTTAAATTAAATACTAAATTGCTCTCATGCACAAAAGGTTAAATTCAAGGAAAGGATTTAGTTTAATGCTTCTATCCAGTAATGAAGACTATTTGGAAGCATCCACTCAGCTCCTGAATCTCTACATACACATCTCAAAACTCAAGAGATGAAAATTAGAGGATTTGACTTGGAATAACTCCAAAACTTAAGCTAATTTATTTTCATTCAAGTAATTGTGGTCACTGACAATTATTGACATTAAGCGTTATTATTAAATAGAACAGTGAAAACACATCACAAAAGCTTTCTAGTCCCAGTTTCAACACAGAGAACACTCTCTAGTAGTGCTTCAAAAAGGAGAGCGTCTTTATTCCTGAACTTTTTAAGTTAGGCAATGACATGACCTGTATCAGCTTCCTACAGTGTTTTAAAGCACATAGCTGTAAGACAGGCAATGTCCAAAAGAAAATCACACCTGACAAAGAAGAATAATTTTTAAAAGCCATTTGATAAATAGCATTTTATTTGACAATCGAGGTTAGAATAGGGAGAGCTTAACAAGAATTCAAAAGACATTTGGGGAAGAAAGAAAAGGTAAAAAAAAAAAAAAAAAAAAATCTCCTGATAAAAGGGAACAAAACCTTCAATAGATAAACCTGTCAGGTTCAATTGTTCAATTTAAAAAAAAAAGTATCTTTATCTATCCAACACTTTCACCAGGTTCAAAGGGCTCCTTTCAGTACTAGACGTTTAGGAAACAACACCAAGATGTCTGCCTATGTGTCCAGGAACATGAGCTTTCACCAAGTGCTTGGTAAAATGATACACACTGCTTGCATGAAACCCTTGAAAATTATGCAAGTTTTAACTGCACTGAACTACCTCAACAATATCCACGATGTTCCAATACAAAGCAGCAATAGACAAACAACGTACTGCGGAGGAGGCCCCAAGTCTTCTTACACAGACTGCTAGGAGCATAAGCCAGCAGGAAGTCATAGAGAGGTGGGATGAATCACTGCAGGCACAGATGAAATTCATGAGTGCTGATCTTATGAACCACAGAACCCTTAGGAAGACATTTATGCAAAAGAATATAGTCTTGTCCCTAAACCACGTACGAACACAAGACACCACCTAGAGTTTAAGATAGATACAATTATTTAATGCTTTTCTTAATCTCACTTCTATTATTATTATCATTATACTTCCTTTTAAACCAAAAGATAATGCCAGGAATGTACTGCATTATGATAGTCATACTAACAGTCATTTATACAGCCAAGTAAAAGTAGGAATTAAATAACTATTCTGATCTGTAGAGTACAGTCAAAGGCACAGGGAGGAAAACAAGATACAGGTTGTCCACGGAGGCTGTGGATGCCCCATGCCTGGAGGCATTCAAGGCCAAGCTGGATGTGGCTCTGGGCAGCCTGGTCTGGCGGTTGGTGACCCTGCACATAGCAGGGGGGTTGAAACTAGATGATCATTGTGGTCCTTTTCAACCCAGGCCATTCTATGATTCTATGATACTCTCCACAGTTTGGAAAAAGGGAGGACAGATTACTATAATCCACGTCTGGAATAACCAGACATCACATCTGTAATAAGTTATTCAGGGTTTCTACTATTCTCCTCTATTACGGCTTTTCCACTGCTCTAAGAAACAAGCTTTCAGGAAAATCCCCAGCCAAATACTAGGGTACAGCAGACAGGCAGTATCATCTCTTTCCTCCTTCAACAGAACAGGGAACAAGCTAGTTCTTCCTTTCTGAAGGGGGAGTGCTAAACTGACAGGAGATTTTCACACGTCCTCTTTGCTTGCAGCTAGCAGAAACTCAGCCCAGTTGCTGCAGTGCATTAATATGCTCTCAGGTCCCACACTGAACCATGGCTGTAGATTTACTCATGGACAACTCAATTTGTGATTATGTTTGCCTGCACATCCTTGGGAAGAAAGGGCAATTCTGCAAGATAATTGCTACTCTGAATTCAAAGTGAAAGATCACTTTGTTATAACATTTGAAGTTCCTAATTAGATGCATGTACTAAACAAAATTCATATATATCAGAATAAGCTATGATTGAATCCTGCCTTTGTACTTCTTTTCAGGCAACAAATAAAACCTCTGGGAAATGTTCATTAGTTCAAAAACCTTCTGCTCAAAAAAGAGGCTTAAAAAAAAAAAAGAGAGAGAAAAGACATCTCTCAAGACCTGATCCCAGATGTACTTGCTGACAGACCAAGTCTCTGCTCTGCCTGACTAGAATTATCTTTAAGACTGATAAGGGCTGAATGGGGAAGTGCAGAGCAACTGTATCAATTATAAAAACTCGAAGAGAAAACAGCTTCCAATGGGGAAATTTGAGAATATTCTGTTTCCACAGGACCCCGATCTTTTCCCAGATGTTCTTGCTGCCCACAAATCAAGTGGGTGACAGGAACATCCCTCATGCCCCACTCACCCACACCCAACCGACCTCACTTGAGAGTTGTATACATTCCCACAGACACTGTCTTATGAGCCACCCTAATGCTAACAAGAACTGCAGGTCAACAGATCAAGGAAGCTAGGGTGCTGAGGTGCCTTTGCTGCTGCTTTCATAGAGCAAGGAGGCTTTCTAAGGCACACATCTGTATATGCAGATGTAACAGCCGAAGTTGAAATCTGCTATTGTGAAGCAACACTGATTTTTAATCTTAAAAAGAAAAGAAAAAGAATAAAAAGGAGAGGAAAGAACAAACAAGTTTCTAAGAGTCCTTCTAGCAGAGAAAAGTGCAAATGGGATTTAGGATACCACTCCTGTTTGAGTGCTAGTGAGCTTGGCAGCAGCTTCCACAGACCCAAGAACAATTCCTTGCCTCACACAAATGCAACAAGTAAGCTTTTGAGGCTCTTAAACACTATCTATATATGGACAGAGTTATTTAAGTAGAAAAAAAAAAAAAGGAAAAAAATATATTCCTTACTGTTTGTTTTGCCCAGGCCATGTGACCGATGGACATATGAAGTGTGGACTTCAGAACCTAAAGATATACATACCATTTCCTTGAATGCACTTTCTATAGCCCCAATAACCAGGCACTCATGTGGGATCTTCTTCTCAGTGAAGAAGCGTGTCGGGGGGGTGCTGGGTGAGCCCGGGGCCCCCACACCACCCCGCAGGGAGGCTGCCCGTGTCAGCGTCCTGCTGCTGGTGGATGTGTTGTCAGGTTCCTCTCCCAGGCAGGTGGGTGGGAGAACAGCCGTGTTCCTCAGGATGTCCACAATCTCCTGCAGCTGCTCCAGGATGTGGTGCTGCAGCAGTTTGGAAGCGACCACAGCTGCGCCTGACCCAGCATGTCCATCAAACAGGGACCAGTAGTACAGGTTGATCCCATCTGAGTCCTGGGGAGACAGTAGGAAAAGAGAAGAGACTGTCAGATTGCTGCAACCACAAGTGAGGTGAAGAAGCAGCCAGTGGCTTGACAGCAGCGGGTAAAGCACAGTTAACTCTCCTAGATATAACCTTCCCACTGAAATGGAGAAATACCCATGTCAGTACAACCCTAGGAAATAGATGTGAACTTGTGCCTATTTTTTTTAAACACTCTAACTCAAAAACCCAACAAAAGGATGAACTTGTAGTCTTTTCCACCTTTCATTCCTTACAGAACACTCTTGACCATGCAATTATGTGATACTGAATTTATCTCTTAATGACTGTGTAGTGAAGTATTTGAGAGTTACATCATTGATACATGATAGACCTACCACTATGGAGAGGAAAGCTACCCAAGATGGCACCTGGTACTTCTGTGACAGATCCTTTTCTCACTGGACATTAGGCCAAGGACCTAGCTAGTACCAAGGTGTGGTTCCTACCTCCACGATAGGTAGGTAAGGCCCACCATGCTGACAGATAAGACAGCTCAGACTTTTTGTACCTGTGCCAGCTTGGAAACCAGCACACAGGTCCTCAAGGAAGGTAGACATAAGTGGGTCCAGCCACATTCCACCTATGCTACACATTCACTGCCTAAATATTCCCAGTCTTCTGACAAGCTTCTTGTATAGTACTGGAGTTACATACCCCCTGATCAGAACAGCAAGTGTTTCAGTACAGCTCTCAGAATCACAGCATCTCACACAGAATCATAGAATCATGGTTCTCTACTCAGACTTGTTCAGACAGGTGTAACTCAGCAGTGCTCTTGCTCTGATTTGAGTAGAAACCATGCTCGTGTAGTGGTGTTCGCTATCCATTAGCCCATGTCAGAAGGTAGACCAAATTCTAGGCAGAACAAGCTCAGACCTGCCTGAAAAAGCATTAAGGAGCCAGCCATACCCAAGATAACCTTAAGTTTTCTGTAAAATTCATCACAACATGTTTAGTAAAACATTTAAGGAGTAACAAAATTTGTGTTTGTGTGATGACGTATTTGACAGCAGGATCAGGAAATGATAATTCCAGTCTCTTTTGCCCTGTTTCTTCTTAAATCGGCATCTTCTCCCAGCTTTGCTGAAATAAATGGTTGTGGGGCTGCCCTGCAAGTCAGACAGGAGTAGAGTAATACAGACATAGAAATAAATGATTTTGCAGGGAACTGGAATCAGACAATACTACTGCAAAACATCAAATACTATGAAAGCATAACCTGTATCTCACAACAGTCAAATAACTTAAAAAAAAAATTTAAAAAAAAAGTATCTGTATGTTTCTGTCTGTGGTTTAATTTAGGACAGCAGACATTACAGCAATTGCTCCACAGCTACAATACATGTATTCCTCTCATTCACCTGATAACTGCTCCCTTACATGACAGATCAGCATACAGTCCAGACACCACCTGAATCCCATTACAGTGTTTGCCCAAAACACTGATTATTCAAAATTTGTGCATAGGGCTGTGAACTGCAGCTCCTTTTACTTTCTGCTGTTCCGGTTGTTCCACAAAGGTGCTGTACATTGGCGGCAGGACAGAGAAAACAGATTGGAGTAGGAACACCATGCACTGCCATTCACAAACTCAAAAGAAATTATTAATTGCTGCCCTCAGCTACAAAATCCAAAACCTAATGAAAAACATCTGTTTTGGCAACATGTATGTAGGCCATCGCTACAAGTTCATGCTGTTCAAAGTGCAAAAGGTTCATTACTGAAAAAACACTGATACTTAGAACTTTCTTTGAAATGCATATTCTTAGAGTCTTGATCATAAAAAATTACTTTTGTTTTAAGCTGATGGCCATAAACATAGACAGCGTGTAGTGAAGTTCAAACAAATTCTTAACCATTTCATTAAGAATATAGTCACCTGTACAGTGGAGTTTCCTCAAGTCCAAATTCTATTAAGGTTAGGAATTCAGCAGTTTATCTTGTGCATTCTTCATTTCATTACTGAAATGCTGAGAAATGGGAGGACTGTCCTGTGGATTACTCACCACAGTAAGTATTATATAGTGGAGGGGAAAACAAGAACAAAAAAAATACCCCACTGTTCTGAATGCATCTCCTTATCCAGCCCCACTCCACTTGCCTGTTCTGGTACATACACCAAAAACCTGCTGTGAATTTTTACCCCTGAGGGCATGATGGACAGTTGTGCCAGCTCACTCTTAGCTCAGAACTGCTCCAAGTTCACACTACAGTTGGCTGTAAAGTTCTGCTTAAACTATTTTTAACATGTAATAGGATTACTGACCAAAAAATCTCTCTGTAAAACCAGTTTGCTTTTTGTGCAAAGTATGAAGTAGTTTGCCAACAGAAACAAGCATCCCAAACTGGAAGCGTTTTAACTAAAAACTGAAATCATTTATTTAAAGCAGCAATACTGCTTCATGGGAATAGATGATCGAATTACTTCTGCTTCCATCTCTTAGGGTTTGGTTCCCTGGACAAAATACCTCCCTCATGATACACCATGGACACGTAATGCTTCCAATCTCAAACTGAAAAAGAAATACTTTGCCTTCCACCTAGACATAGCCCAGAGTGTATGGGAAAGATGTGTTTCTCTAGGATAATTTCTAATCTGAACAAGCCTCACATTAGCTTAGTAGTAAAATAAAGGGTTAGGGATCATGAAGTTTCAAACAGCTCAGAACAATACCCTATGACTAAAAGTGAAATTGAAGCATTATCACTTGTTTCCTCTAAGACACTGGGAAGCACGGAGTAGCACAGAAAAGCTCACGTGAGCCCAACCTTCATCCTCAGTCTGTCACTGACATGAATGTGACATGTCAACTCTGGTGGTTCCTGCACAGTTCACCTATCTTCTTGCTCTTTTTTGGACCAGTAGCTCTAAAACAATTCGATGTTGCTACCAGTTAAGCTGAATTGAAACATTCACATTGCACACCTCCACGACAGTTCTCTAGATTGTCTGTACAATCAATAGAGGGGGAAAAAAAATGCAAAAAACCTGTACTTTCACACCATCTTCATATAACTCTGAAGTGGTCTTATTTCTCCCTATCAGCTGCAGAAATAGCCTTGATAACTGAGAGGTCTGTGTTATAAGCATATAAATTCACAGGAGATGACTACCACAATACTGCTCTTATACACGCCTTTGATGTGAGATAAAATCATAGAATGATTTGGGTTGGACGGGACCTTAAAGATCACCTAGCTCCAACCTCCCAGCAGTGGGCAAGGACACATTCCACTAGCTCAGGCTGCCCAGGACCCCATCTAAGCACCTGGCCTTGAGCACCTCCAGGGATGGGGCATCCACAGCTTCTCTGGGCAGCCTGTGCCAGCATCTCACCACTCTCACACATTTAACCTATTTTCTTTCAGTTTGAAGTCATTATCCTTTTTCCTATCACTACATTCCCTGATAAAGAGTCCCTCTCAAACTTTCCTGCAGGTCCCCCTTTAGGTATTAGAAGGCCTCAATGAGGTCTCTCTAGCTTTCCTTCTCCATGCTGAATGAACCCAGCTCCCTCAGTCTGTCTCCATGGATTGGTGCTCCAGCCCTCTGATCATCTCTGTGGCCTCCTCTGGACCTGATCCAACATATCCACGTCCTTCTTATGTCACAGACCCCAAGGCTGAACACAGGACTCCAGGTGGGGCTGCATAAGGACAGAGCAGAAGGGGACTATGACCTTCCTCACCCTGCTGGACACCCCTCTTTTGATACAGACCAGAATACATTTGGCTTTCTGGGCCACACATGAATAATCTCATGCTCTCCTCAGGGACAAGGCAAAAAAAGCCTAATTAGAAGAAGCTATAATAATCTTTACCAAGTTGTGAAAAAGACCAGTATACACTTAAAGAATTTAAGGAATAATGCTCACCAAAATTTGAATTGGTCTGAATGCATTACACAGGGCTGCATATTCTTGAACACAAAGTCAGAGAACCAAAGCTGTTACCTAGCTATAACATTGTTTGTTATTGTCACCTATAACAAACATTGTGCACCATCCCTATTCCAGAAGTTGGTCTTCCACAGAAGGACAAGTGAAACATGAGCAAACCAATGCAGAACTGACACTGAGGACAAAAAAAATCTAAGTAATCACTGTGTATTTTACTAATGTTACTTGTAAACTGCAGCAATTCAGGATGCTCTACTGCCTTAACTGCTGGAATCTGCAGGCATTATTGTAACAAATGTTAGTCTCCACAGACCTATATGTATTTCTGTGAAGCCTGATTAACTTCTGAACTAATCAGGAGTATTACCATGAATAAAATATTAGTTGTCTAAATAAAGAAACAGAAATAAAACTCCTTTTCCCCACCCTGAAAGTAAAAACAGCTCCCTTGTTTGAACTGATTGAATTCTCCAAAACCCATACCAATTTCATAAGAACTAAATATACAGTGTAAATAAGGCAGGAACTCAGAATGAATAAGGGCTAGCAGTTAAGTCAAAAGGCACAAAAAGATCCTTGTTTTTCTCCCATAGCTGAGATGCCCTCTGTAGCCACCACACAATTACCTATTTTGGTGTGTATATGCAGAGTTGTTCTCCATCTGTCATGTTTGAGAACCTTGGAACTTCTTTCCAACACAAAGATATTACCAAACTTCAAACTACAAGACACTGATTTCCACTACTGGTTGGTATTCTTTCTTTATGAATCCCTATTCATAAATGAAAGTGGACAGAGCCACTTTCAGAGAGTGGACAATTGGGAATATGTCTAGTTAACACATCCTGATGTAGATTAGGTTTTCTTTCGAAACAGTCTGATTCAACATTCTGAATAGCTATCAAATACATCAAGAGAAAACAGATCCTTCACTGCATTGACCTTCCAATTCATTTCCCATATGCAATAGGAAATTTAATAAGCCTCAGACTCCTCAACTGCTGACTTTGCATTCAGGAAGGCTCAAGAATCTCCTGGGTTTTGTAATTGTAAAACATAATTAAGACATG